AATAGTAATAATAATAATAGTAATAATAATAATCAAAAATAAATAGATAAATAAAAAAACATATATATATATATATATGTATGTATGTTTTTGCGGTGGAGTGGGGCGCCTTCCAGGAGTAGAGTTTTGGGGTTTAGGATTAAGGCATAAGAACATTCACTGAAAGCATTTACTGAGTCTTCCGGGTCCTCTATCACCGGGGCGAGTCAGCTGCAGAGTTGTTTTGCATCGCTATCTCACGGTGCACCAGTTCTCGGCACCCGACCTCGGAGCAAACACAGTTCTTTGCTATAGCGAAGGGTTTAGGGTTTAGGGGTTTAGGGTTTAGGGCCAATCTCCGTTTCACAAACAAGGATGACTAGTCGAGTGATTTCTTCTTCCTCAGTGTTGGTGTCAGGTCCTAGCTGATAGTTCTACGGACCGCAGATCATCAACCTGGTAGGGCAGGAATATACAAAGCACGCAGCTAGTAAGACATTATTGCTTTCCCGGAGGGCGTTGCCTGTCAGGCGCCAGGCGCAGGATGCGAACCTCGGAAGCTGTCGCAGTCCGCTCCGGATTTTTGGGATTCTCGCAAAAAGGACCCGAGAGGTTCATGTAGGGGTTTCGGACGGAGATCCTCAGAATTGCGGTTTTCGGATTTCGGGGTGTAGGGTTTAGGGGTTAGGGTCTCAAAGTTTGGGGGTTCAGGGTCTCAAAAGCTATTGCGCCAGGGTGCGCAGTTCTCAATGTACAGGGTCCCGGTGGTCGTTTTCTACGCCTTTCCTGAGCCCCACGCGCTTAGGAATTAGAAGTGAGCTGCCTCGAAACATCTCTAGACACTGATGCTTGTTTTTGGGCTTAGGGTGGAGGGATCATGCCCGTGCATCGCTCGGTTTGGTGGCGGGGCCATGTCGTGCAGACCATGTCCCACAGGCGTAACGGGCATACGTCGTGTGGTTATGGCTCTCTTCACGGCTCTCTTCCTAAACCCCACCCGACAGGCTGGTACCCATGCGCACCTCTCCCAAGACCGGCCACGCCAGCCAGTCGCTGTACCTGGCCCGAAAAATGCAGCAGCATGTCTTACAGGGTCATATCCGGCATGCGCAAGTAGCCTCCATATAAGCTCCCCACGGACGCTCCAGCACTGGGGCAGTGCTATCCCCGGTCAATGGGGCAACGGACCAGATGCATCCAGGAACTTCATCCACTGAACCCCAAGTCAAAAACAGGAATCGCTTCTCTTAAGGAATCCCTAAACCCTAAACCCTCAGTTTTGCATCGTTGTTGGCCGATGATCGGCCGATGGCCGACAATCGTTGCACAGAAATCTCAGAGCCCCCACACCAGCTCATGGCCATCATTAGTCACTTGTCCTCAAACGCCCCAAATCTGATAACCTGTCATGTAGAGAAGCCATAATCATGCATGACTGGGTTTGGGATGCTTCGGGGAATATTCTGTTCTACATGGCCATTATACCGCACATCCCCAGACAGTCCCAACATAACAAAAACTTCTAGAACAGCGCTAAAAGCCCTCAAGTCCAAAACCACTGAAAGACACAAACTGAAACCCTAAATCAAATCCCAAACCCCCAAACTGAAACCCTAAATCACATCCAACCCCCCCAAACTGAAACTCTAAAACACATCCCCGAACCCCCAAACTGGAACTGTACCTACAGTCTCCATTCTAGTTCCTTTTTTTGGCTTAACCAATTCTATATTCTAGGAACCTAAAAGGTAACCCCCAAAAGGGAACTACCATGGAGACTATAGGTACGTGTTTTTTTGGAGTCCCCTAAACCCTAAACCCTAAGCATCTTAAGCAAACCCTAAACGCCCTAAACCCTAAGCATTTTAAGTTGTTTTTTAGATAGGTAGCCGGTGCCCTTCGACCAGCAGGGACCTCGTCAACTCCTCTTCCTCTGAGTCGGGTCGCCAAGGCTGCCACCAAGGGCCAGGCCTGCCAGACGAAAAAAGGAAAAAACACTCAAGGGCCCGGTGTTTAGGGTTTGGGGGGTTTAGGGCTTCGGGGTTCTAGACTGCGCATCATGCATCGATTCAAGCTTTTGTTTCTAGAATGTTCGGGGCTCTGCAGCGCTTCTTGTTGAGTTCGGGGCTCTGGGTTTGTCGAGAGGATGGCTTGGGGTTGCAAGGCTCGCTTTCGCCTCAATCCTTGCAGGGTTTGGGGGTTTTAGGGGTTTAGGGTTTTGGGTTTAGGGTTCAGGGTTTATAGGGTTTAAGGGTTTAGGGTTTGGAGGATGGGTTTCGGGCTTTATCCGAAACCGCGAACCGTGATAGTGCATCTCCTAAAAACCTAGGCCCTCACACGACAAGACGATGCCCCCTGACAACTAAATCAATCGCATAAGGGCCGCTAGATAACTTGGGTGCATTGCAGTATGTTTGTGTGGGGACCATAAGGGGACATGTTTATCTTACGTTCGATATGATTATTGTTATCAGTAATACTGTTATTTCTATTGCTATTGATGTCGTCGTCCTCGTCGTCTTTGTTGTTGTTGCTGTTGTTGTTGTTGGCTGTTGTTACGACGACGACGACGACGCCACTACCACCACGACCACGACCACTACCACTACCACTACCGCTACCGCTACCGCTACCGCTACCACCACGACCACTACCACTACCACTACCGCTACCGCTACCGCTACCGCTACCGCTACCCCTACCCCTACCCCTACCCCTACCACGACCACGACCACGACC